CAACATCCTCTGGCAGCAAATTCCACATTTTAATCACTCTCTGTGTAAAGTAGTATTTCTGTCCTGCACCTACTTCCCATCAGCTTCACTGGATGCTCCCAAGTTCTGATATTTTGGGAGTCCTACTGGTTTCTATGGAGACAGTGGTCTGTGGTCTGCAGGCTTAGTGTTTCAGAGTAGTCAACTAATAGCCAAAGGGTATGTGGTGATTTCATATTGATCTGGATATTTTGGCTTTCTCATTTCTTTGTGCAACCCAGTCCTTGTGCATGTTTACTAAAAATAAGTCCTAATGTGCTCTATGGGGTTTACTTGCACATAGACACGCAAGGGTTTTCAGCTTTAGTGATCATCAGAGTATGCCGATTTGCGCCAATGAAGTGAGTTCAGGCCTGATCTAAATATAAGGTCGGTGAGGCAAAATGGCTTCCCCGTGTGACTTTGCACGAGCTTAGCATCTTGTTGAAACTGGGCCGCAACTCGTGTAATGCTGCAAAATGTGCTTAGTTTGCATACCAAAGATCCATATGTATGTGTGGGCCATCAAGTGGGGAGCGGTGACACAGGGGATTTATCCTCTGGTTACTAGTAACATCTGAGCTGAACAGAACTGCTGTCAGTTCTAGCCCCACGCTGGTGTGAGCTACCAGCCTTGTCTCCAGCTCGCCGTCCACCCAGCGGTTTGAAAGCTTCAGCGAGTAGATAAAATGGGTACCACTCCTTAGAGAGGGTGGGCACACTGAACCCCCCCCATGGGGGAGGTGTTAACTGGCGAACGGAAGGTTTGGATCGCAAGATCAAAAGCCTAGAAGATCTCTTCGGCATTAAAGAAGCCTGTAATGGGCCGTTCCGGCCAGGCGGTGGCAGTATGGAGCTGCGACCTGAAGAGTCCTGGAGAGGAAGAGCTGACGTCATCAAGCCAAGCCAAGCCAAGTGGGAAAAATGCCATCCAGATCACGTCTGAATTGCAACCGAACAAATCCCCGTCGACTGAAAAACATGTGCTATGTAAAGATTAGATGTGTTGTCCTCCCTTACCCCTATAAAGCATTGTTAGTCCCTTGTGAAATGAGTAACTGTAAATCGCTCAGAGCCAGCAGCTCTGCAAGGATTGAGTGATCAATAAATGGAAAGATTATTATTATTATCAAGTCACAACTGACTTACGGTTACCCCAGCCAGGGTTTTTCAAGGGAAGTGATCGAGCAGAGGTGGTTGGCCATTGCCTTCCTCTGAAGAGTCTTCCTTAGCAGTCCCCCATCCAAGTACCAACCCTGCTTAGCTTCTGAGATCTGACGAGGTGGTGCTATACCGTACCATTCCATATCCCCACAGATGGATCGCCCTTGCGAACCCTGTGTCCACACAGTTTACATGAAACACTGAGTTTGTGCCAGTAGCACAGGGAAGGCCTTTTGCCTCCTCCGCTCTCTATTTTAATTGGACCAAAGAGAGGACACCCTGTTCCTGCCTCCTGCCCCTCCATTTCCCCTAAGAAGAAGAAGAGAAGAGAAGAAGAGATTGGATTTATACCCCGCCCTTTACTCGGAGTCTCAGTCAAGGACAGCTCTGACAGAACTATGGCTTGCCCAAAGTCATCCAGCAGGTGCAAGTGGAGGAGTGGGGAATCAAACCGGGTTCTCCCAGATTAGAGTATGCACGCTTAACCACTACACCAAACTGGCACTGCAGGGCCCTGTGCACCACAGCTGCCCACTCCCCTCGGCCATGATAGACCCCCTCAGACCATTGGCTGTTTAAAAGAATGAGGCCTTTGGGGGACCACTTCCATTGCAGCTGTAGAATCCTCTTTGACTTCAGAGTGAGTCACCTCAAGCCAGGAGGAGGAATGCTGCCCAAAAGACTGTATATGCAGAAGAATGGTCTCCATTCTTGGCTCTCCGCTGAGCCTCCCTTCACTGGACTGGAGAAACAATGAAAAGGCCTAGTTCGTTCAGAGTACACATCGTGCATATAAAACTGTGGCTGGCACCGGGGACCATTCCCGGAGCACAGCTTCCAGATCTGAGCACAAAAACAACGGGCATTCAAGGCACAGTAGCCAGCGTGAAAGTTTGTGGTTGACTGCTTGCTCTTGGGAAATCCTTCCATCAGCTTTTCCCCTGTCTCCCTTAAATGTTTTTTTTTAATAAGAATGTTGAATGTGCATGTCTGTGTTTTCTTACTCACAATTCCCGCCCCCGCCTTTCAGGATATCTGAACAAGACCGTGAATCAGCCAACCTTCCAGACAAACGTGTCGACATGAACCATTCATACCAGGTTACCAGGGGATCCAGGTACCATGATTTAAATTAATAAACTGACTGACTGGATTTTCCTGTAGCTGCAAAAGGCTGTCCTTGCCGCAAACACACAGAGGTTGTGCAGAGAATATCTGGAAAAGGGGACCTTAACTGGACAGGATGGGAGGAGGCAGTCCTTCAGGTACCCTGGCCCCAAACCATTTAGAGCCTTAAAGGAGACTGGTTAAAACTTAAGTACTGAGAAAATAAGATTAAATGAAGAATAATAAGAATGATGGGGCTGTGGTGGCTCAAGTGGTTAAGATGCTAAACTGCAGAGCGGAAGGTCTGTAGTTCAGCAGTTCGAGACCCGAGTGCCGCGTGACGGAGTGAGCTCCCGTCTCTGGTCCCAGCTCCTGCCAACCTAGCAGTTTGAAAGGAAGAAACTGCAAGTCGATAAATAGGTACCACTTCGGTGGGAAGGGAACAGCGTTCCGTGCGCCTTGGTGTCTAGTCATGTCGGCCACATGACCACGGAAACGTCTTTGGACAGCGCTGGCTCTTCGGCTTAGAAACAGAGATGAGCATCGCATCCCTAGAGTCGGATTCGACTTGCTTTCAAGCAAGGGAAACCTTTACCTTTACCTAATAAGAATGATAGATGTAGTAGTTGTGAAGTTCTAATGAGAAGATTTGCATGCAGAATGTTAAATTGGATTTTTTAATATATATATATATATATATATCCTTTCGTATCTTTCCTTTCCCCCTTCTTTCCCCTTTCCCTTTCTCTTTGCATAAACTAATGAAATCTTTTTTGTTAAAAAAAAAAAGAGCCTTAAAGGTAAGCACCGGAATTGTGCCCGGAAACCAATGGGAAGCCGGTGCAGATCTTTCAGAACTGGAGTGATGCAGTCCCTGTATCTGACCCCTGACAGTAGACTGGCTGCCGCATTTTGGACCAGCTGAGGTTCTCAGACCGTTTTCAAATGCAGCCCTACATAGAAAGCATTACAGTACTCTAAGCTGGGTCCCCATGGCCCGATCACACATTTCAAGGGAGGGACATAGCCGGCTTATCAACTGAAGCCTACAAAAGGCACCCGATGCCACGGAAGAGACCTGAGCCTCCAGCCGTAGGCCAGGATCCAGCAGCACCCCAAGATGGATCCCTGCAGGACCTCATGGCGTAAATGTCGCAGAGCTGAACAGAAGTCCTCCAGCGCCACCTCCTGGAATCAGCCAGTCGAGTCAGAGCAAAACCACCGAAGTATGGTGTCCCGACCCCCATCCCAGCCAGAAGGAAACCATGGCCAATGGTATCAGTCTCAGACTTGACTTCGGGGACCCTGAGGTTGGTGGTCCTTAGGGACTTCAGTGCTCATGCTGAGGCGCCCCTCACGGGAGCAGCTCAGGACTTCATGGCTGCCATGACAGCCATGTGACCATTCCAGAACATTCTGGCACGAGAGGTCGTACACTCGATTTGGTTTTCTTTGGGAATAAGGTACCACTCTGCCCTTGGCATGGACTGACCATTACCTGGTGAGATGTAAACTCACAGGTGCTCAGAACCTCTGCAAGGGTCATGGGGGGGGGGACAATTAGGATGGTCCGCCCCAGGAGGCTGATGGATCCAGAGGGGTTCTCGATACCCCTGGAGGATTCCCCAGTCAGTGAGGCTGGTGCCCTTGTTGTAGCCCTGGCTGACCTGGATTGTGGAGATGACCTGGGCTGTGGACACAGTTGCCCCTGAGCACTTTCTCTCTCTCTGCTATGCACTCTACTTGGGGCTGCCTTTGAAAACAGGTTGGAAATATGGTGGCCAGGTTGCTTTCAGGAGGTCGGTTAGAAGCAGGACTTTTTTCTTTTTGGAAAAATTGGTGCCGGAACGCTCAAGAGGGAAATGAATTTTTTTGATCTGTATACTTGAGCACTCAGGAACTTAAAAACATTTTTAAAAGAATTTTGTCAAAGAGGTTCTGGAACTCAGTCCCGGTGCGTTCCCCCACAAAAAAAGACCTGGTTACAGGTATCACATCACTGCCAGTGCCACGCTGAAAGATCTGCACAGGCTACCTATCTGTTTCTGGGCGCAATTGTTACTTTCAAGGCTGTCAGTGGCTTTGGGCCAGGGTTTCTGAAGGACCGTCTCCTCCCACACTACTCAGCATGCCAGTCAAGGTCTGCCTCTAAAGCCCTGCTGTCTGCACCCCCATGAGGGTTGCCGGTTCCGGGCTGGAAAATACCTGGAGATTTTGGGAATCAAGTCCAAGGAAGGCGGGGTTCGGGGAGGGACTTTAGTGGGGTATAATGCCAGAGAACGTACCTTCCAAACTGGCCATTTTCTCCAGGTCAACTGATCTCTCTCACCTCGAGATCAGTCGTAATCCTAGGAGATCTCCAGTCACCACCTGGGTGTTGCACCTCTAGCCCCCACCTTCAGTGGTGAAGTGGGTGGCAACTAGAGACAGGGCATTTTCTGTGGTGGTCCCTTGCCTTTGGAACACCCTCCCACCCCCGTTGAGGCTCTCCTGGTGCCTACTTTACTTTCGATTAAGCACCAGGCTAAAACACCTCATTTTGCCCCAGGGTTTTTTTTAGTAATCAGCTTTTTAGTGGCCTGCTTCTGGTATTGGTAGTTTTTATGCTGCTTATGTATAATGACTTGCATTTTTTGTTAACGGCTTGTGTTTTATACCGCAGTTTTTAATTGTCAGCCACTCGGGGCAGGACTCGGAAGAGGCAGCATAGAAATATTTTGAATGAATAAATAAATAAATATAAAAAGTTGCCAAGAGGTCCAGGAGAATCAATGGGGTGGACTCCCCCTCAGTCAGGGCAAACAAGTCCCTTTCAACCTCAAAGCCAGGCCTGCATCCAGATTGAAATGGGCCTAGATTAGCGTTGCCAGACCCCTGGTGTGGGCGGGGGTCCCCCACTGACAGACCCCACCACCCAGCTGCTAATCAGCTGGCCTGTGTGGGGGGGAACTTACTCTGAAAAAGCGGGAGGCTCTGCCCACACGACCCGGAAGTAACATCATCACTTCTGGGACGTCCAGCTGACGCTCTGGTATTTGGGCAAAAACTCAATGGTAGAAGCCAAATTTACCCTAGGGTTTTTGCCCAAATACCAGAGCGTTGCCCTGATGTCCCAGAAGTGAAGTTGTCACTTCCGGGTCATGTGGGCAGTGACGTAAACACATCGCTGTATGTCAGAAGAGCCCCCCCTCCTGCTCCCAGTAAATTCCCCCCAATCCCCTGCCAGTTGCCAGGGGGGACCTGGCAACCCTAGCTTAGATCATCCGAATCCTCCAAGACCACCTGAAGCCGTGTAGTCACCACCCAACAGAAAAGGAATGCTAGCCACCAGGCAGCACTTGCTGAGGTCATTCGGTCCCCAGAGCGCCTTCTTCAGGAGGGATCTCATGATTGCCTCTTGCAAGGCCACCGGAATTATACTCTCCTGAAGAGTTCGTATTGTTTATTTCCTCCCAGCCCCACTTGACCAGCCCAGACCAGCCCAGCTCGACACCAGTGGCCACGGGGGCAAAGGTCACGTGTAGATGTGGCAGGCCACACATTTCATTCTGCTTCATGATATATGCCTGCATAGGGTTGCCAGCTCTGGGTTGGGAAACGCATGGAGATTTTGGGGGGTGGAGCCAGAGGCAGGTGGGGTTTGGGAGAAAGGGATGTGCCTCAGCAGGGCACGAGGCCACAGAGTCCGCCCCTCTGCGACAGCCATTTTCTCCAGGGGTCACGGTTATATGCGTGTGGTGCTGCGTAAACATCTATCTGTATTTATCCAGGTAGATCCAGGTGGGTAGCCGTGTTGGTCTGAAGCGACAGAACAAAGTTTGTGTCCGGTGGCCCCTTTAACAAAGTTTAGTTCTGGGTATAGGCTTCCGTGTCCATGCACACGTCTCCAGACTCAAACTTTGTTCTGTATTTATCCAGTATTTCAAAAGTGAGTTTTATTTAGGCAACTGTGAGGCCTAAAATGAATAATGGAAACTTGTTCAAGACGTAATGCTACTTAATGTCACCTCTTTTGATCATTTGTGTGGATTTGTTTTTAGAGAATGAAGTGCTCTGCGTTTTTGTGTGTATTTCAGCTATAATGCCTCAAGCAGTTGCTCACATCCAAAGGACACTATTGTGTACACAAGGACATATGAGAATAGGTACCTGAAAAATACACAGTATTTTTCTCCAATATTGCCTTGCTTACTAATTTCAAAAATAACGGTTTAAACGCAGTTGTTTAAACAAGAAGTTATTTTTCCGCTGTGGCTCAGCTAACCTGATTTCTTCAGTGTACAGAAAACGTTGGCTGAAGGTTTTTAAATCTTATGCTAGGATCATAAAATACAAGAGCTAAATGCATATCCAAAGAGATGGGGAGGTCAATATTCAGGGGCTATGACCAGAGTGCAACAAAACATTAAGTTATGGGCCTGTGCATGCCTTAATTTCACCCTGAGTTTTGACTTCAACAGTGTAGGGGTTTCTACATTCTTGGGATAATAGGATTATTTAAAAAAAACCCAACCCAAACAGATAGCAGATAATATGTCCCCAAAAGACCACATAACAAATGAATATGTTCGAAGACCATGGGATATTGAGAGTAGTTGAGTCAGTTAAGGGAGTGTTCCTTGCAGGGGTCATTTCCTAGAAAAAGAGGTGCAGGAGCTCATTAGCATACCTTATTAGCATAACTTATTTGCATATGTCACACCCCCTGACATCACCAGAAGTGTGTCAGAAGGCAACACCCACCCCTCAGGCTCCACTGGACTGTTTTAGATTGCTAGCTATTGGGGGGGGAACGTACAGATCTGTCCTCACAGAGGAGGGAGAGCTTGTACCTGAAAGGGGGGGGGCTCTGCAACTTACCTGGCTGCTTCTTGCTCCTCGTGGCCCGACTGAGGACTGCTGGGAGAAGGGGGCAGGGCTTGTTGCATGTGCCCGCCCCCTGGGCTCCTTACTTCCGGAGCTCCGCTCCTGTGCGCTCCCGCAGGAAATGACCCCTGGTTCCATGTGCGACAAACAGAAAAGGTCCCTGGCGCATCCCATATCGCCATGCCTAGGGTGGCAAAAGGGATCCGGGGCAGGGCCTGGCATGTCAATGGTCACAGAAATCCTTACAAAAGCCCTATCAGGTGGGTCACTATTATTATATAAGGGAAGCGGAGGCTGAAAGAATAGTGCCGAGGGTCACCTGAGCTCAGGGCTAAATCCCAGTTCCAGTGCCTATTTGCTATTTTACATGTATGAGAAGGAGTTTGGGGATGTATTTCATTTCCCTGGAGGCCAAAGAAGAAGAGGAGGAGGAGGAGGAGATTGGATTTATCCCCTGCCCTTCACTACCGGAAGGAGTCTCAGAGCAGCTTACAAACTCCTATCCTTTCCCCTCCCCACAACAGACACCCCGTGAGGCTGAGGGAGCTCTTTCCAGAACTGTCCTTGAGAGAACGGCTCTGACAGAACCATGGCTTGCCCATGGTCATCCAGCCAGGTGCAAGTGGAGGTGTGGGGAATCAAACCCGGTTCTCCCAGATTAGAGTCCACGCACTTAACCACCAAACTGGCTACACCAGACAAAGGGCCAAACTAGCTGTTGTTCCCATTTGTATCCAACCCTTTCCCCTTAGAATATGCATTTGGAACTCTTCGGGTTGCCGAACTCCAGGTGGGGCCTGGAGATCTCCCGGAACTTCCATTTACCTCCAGACTACAGAGATCAGTTCCCCTAGAGTCAATGACTGTTTTGGAGGGTGAGCTCTATGGCATTGTACCCCCCCAATCCCATCCTCCTCAAGCTCCACCCCCAAGATTTCTAGGAGTTTCCTAACCTCGAGTTGGCAACCTGAGAAAATCCCACAGAGGGAGGGAAGCAGTTTGTAGGGACATTTAGTAGTAGGAAATAGCAGGAAAGGTTACTCCCTCTCTGTGTGTGTATCTCTGCCAGCTGCTTTTCTGATCTGAATCAGCCCTCCAGAATGGTCCCCCCCCTTTTAAAAGGCCTATTGGGTTAATATTATGTGCAACTGTATGCAGTGTCTAGTTAGGATCTGAAATGGCAGAGAGACAAAAAAAAATCTGTACGTTCAGCTGTTCAACTGAATGGGAACACCTTTTCTTTACCACTACCCAGATTCTAAATAATGCACAGGGAACAAAGACAAAAATGCAGCCCCCCTTCTTGCTGACTCTTCCATGTGGCATGGTCAGTCGTCACGTGGGATTGTACCAACTCCGTTTCATGTAGAGGGGTGTTGAATATATAGATGGGACCAGTGCTCCCTTTAAGCTGTGGAGTCTTGCGAGCAAAAATTCTACTTGGTGAGCTGCTGGCATTAAAGTTGTGAGTGAGCAATTTGGCTACTGCATACATTAGTTTGCTCCAGAGCCTTCCTTCCTAAGACAAAAATGTGTGAGCCGGAGGCTAAAAAACTGTGAGCTAGCTCACACTAACTCAGCTTAGAGGGAACACTGCATGGGCCCTCGTGTGCCTAGTTCAATATTGATCTTCCTTCCATCTTTGCATCATCAGGATGTGTCTAGTGCAGGCAGTGAGGGCTGCCCTCCCGTAGACCAATGCCTGAGCCAGAGGAATAATGCAGTGTGTTGTAAAACATAAAACAATACATTTTTATGTTTTCTTAAGCTGACTTGTGTCTTGCCTTGTTCTACAATGCTTTATTTTGTTTCTGAAATAAGATCTGACTTCTTCCATCCCAAGTGGTGTTTTTAGAGGAGTGTAAAAATACACTTTTTGTATGTCAGTGTACGGCTTCAGCCTGCCCTTGGGTTTGCGTAGATGGCTTTTATGTCGATTAATGATATTCTCTCTGAAGTGCAAAACGGGAAAGTGAAGTTTGTCATTCATCACTTGGCGCATGTTTATTGTATTGCAGCAGATTTCCCCATGATGCTTATGAAGACAACTTCCATGGCAAATCTATTAAAACTGTTTACTCAACTTCTGACAGGTAGGATATTGTGTGCGTATGTGTGTGTGTGTACGCACCATCACTGGGGGGGAGGGGGAAAGCAGTGAGAAGGTACACTGTGAAAAAGCACTTTGCCAATTGACCTTAAGACTCTTTCCTGGTGTGCACATGAATGCATATCACTTGATTTCCCCACAACCGTATACTTGATGATTGGCAGGGGACGTGCGAATTGATATCCAGGGGATATGATGACAGTTCGGCCCGTGTGTTAGGTCTGTGCGGCTCATTCGCACAGGCACGTAGTCACCCCGTGTGAATGTGCACGTGTGAACTGGCACTTTAGCCAGACTTGCTTCTAAGGTGAAAGGGAGGAAAGGGTCTCTCTGGGGGCTTTGCGAGGCCAGTCAGGTCCACTCCACACATTAGAAGAAGAAGAGGTTGGATTTATACCCCGGCCTTCACTACCGGAAGGAGTCTCAGAGCGGCTTACAATCTCCTTCCCCTTCCCCTCCCCACAACAGACACCCTGTGAGGTAGGTGGGGCTGAGAGAGCTCTTTCGAGGACAGCTCTTTCAAGAACAGCTCCGAGAGAACTTGTGACTGACCCAAGGTCACACCAGCAGCTGCATGTGGAGAAATGGGGACTCAAACCCGGTTCTCCCAGATTAGAGTCCGTGCTTCTAACCACTGCACCAAACTGCAAGCCAAGCAGCCCTCCTTCCGTGCCCCCCAGCACCTGTCCTCCAGTTTCTTGACACGGGGGAGGGAGAAAGCAGAAGCTCCGCAGCCTGTTTCTCCCTGAGCAAGGCGCACCCTCAGTGATGAAAAACGCAGCACCACTGCTTTTGTTCATTTTAAAAATTATATCCCAATCACTCAGCCTTTCTGGGTTTGCAAGGCAGCTCATTCATACAAGACAGAAAGAAGGAATACCAAAAGAGGCTAAAAGAATATAAATCTAAACCATAACAGTAAAAAAAAAAAAATCCCTGTTAAAAACAAACTCAGCTGGAAGCCTGGTTGAAAAGGGATTTTTCAAAAGCCTGGTACACCTCTGCTGGAAGCAAGTCGCAGAAGCCAGGCATTGTAACATCACCCCACGCTGGGCTAAAATGGAGTCGCATGCAACATGCTGTGAACCAGCCCTAGGTAAAGGTAAAGGTTTCCCTTGCTCGAAATCCAGTCGAATCCGACTCTAGGGATGCGGTGCTCATCTCCGTTTCCAAGCCGAAGAGCCAGCGCTGTCCGAAGACGTTTCCATGGTTCCATGGTCATGTAGCCGGCATGACTAAACATCAAGGTACACGGAACGCTGTTTCCTTCCCACCAAAGTGGTACCTATTTATCTACTTGCAATCTCTTGCTTTCGAACTGCTAGGTTGGCAGGAGCTGGGGCCAGAGACGGGAGCTCACTCCGTCATGCGGCACTCGGGTCTCGAACTGCTGAACTACCGACCTTCTGGTCTGCAGCTCAGCATCTTAACCACTTGAGCCACCACAGCCCTTGAACCGGCCCTGCACGGCCCTAAATCTCCCTTTTGGCTCTTTCACTGATTGTCTACAAAATTAGCAACCGCCCTTTCGAAGTGATAGTTTCTCCAGCAGCACAACAAGATATTTACCCATTGAACCAGAAATTGACACACCCGCTTTGGTCTTTGGCCCTGCTCCACCTGGACGTTCTCCTGCCCGTGTTGTGTTGAAGTGAATGGGGGCTGAGCGGTTCCCAGTGGAGCTGTATCCCATTCATTCCAATGGGGCTTGTTCAAGAGAACTTCAAGGCGGGGGGGGGGAGGGTTGCGCCTTGCGCCTTCAGACGATTCCATATCAGAGCGTTCTTGCAGGCAAAGTGTGGCACGAGAGAGTGGAGCGTCGGGTGGGAATGGTGGTATCCCCCCTCACCGGTGGAGCCCCAAACGCTTCTGTCCTTTCTGTGTAATGTGCTTAATGAATTCTGTTCTTACACAGGAGCGTTATCGACAAAGAAATGTGTACGTTCTGCCGGAAGCCCCTCGGCACAGACACAAAGATGGTTCTCGATGCCTTGCAGATCAGCTGCCACGCAACCTGCTTCCGGGTAGGAAGGGCTTCCATCCACTGCTATAAAATATTCTCGGCGGTGCATTATTGAGGCCACGAACTGTTAGCACACACTTCGGTTCTTGATCTAGCATGGGGAGATGTGGCCTCGTTTGGGCTTATAGGCACGACACTCATTGGACTAGCTAATGAGGAAAGACGTACAGAGCACCTCTTTTGTGTGTGTGAGATTCTGGATTCAAAACGTGGCCTCTCCAGTTCAGAGGGTCCACGTAGCAGGACAGTGAAATAACTCTGCTGAGACCTTGCTCATCAGAGGTCCTGGACTAGAGGAACCAATGGTCTGACACAGTAGAAGACAACTTTGGAATGCAGCTAGATGAACCTCTGTTTACCTCTCCGACACAGATTCGGGGGGGGGGGTAGCCACGTTGGTCTGGAACAGCAGAACAGAGGTTGAGTCCAGTGGCACCTTTACGACCGACCAAGTTTTATACCTTGCACACGACAGCTTATGCCTTGACTAAAACTTGGTTGGTCTTAAAGGTGCCACTGGACTCAAACTTTGTACCTCTGACACAGTTATACTACATAGTTATCCTGATGAACCCACTGAATTTATAGCCACACCCTAGTGCAAGACAGCAGTTCGGCTGTCTGTCCTGCCCATCCTCCCTCCAGGGGGGCGATTGCTTTTTCAGAAGTCTCCCATCCAGGTAACTGACAAGGTCCACGCTTAGTTTCAGCCGTGCTGTAGAACCAGGTATGTTCTGTGCGCTGGACTCTGCCTGGGTCCCCCCCCCCCAGCGAAATGTTTATTTGTTTGTCCACTTAATTTTTTGATATTAAACAGTTGCACTATGAGATTAACAAAATTAGTTCCAGGGATCTGGAGAAGAACGTTGGTGCTATGACCAGAGGTAGCACCTCCCATAATCCGGTGTTTGCAGGTTCTGACTGAACCACGCTGTAAACGTTCAGAACCGGGTGGGTTTTTTTAGAGTTTTTTGAGGGAGAGAAAAAGATTTGTGAAAAAAGAATTTAATGCTGCAAGGGCACTTCTGAATCGCTGCTCCAGCAATATTACATGCCCTTACCCCTAGAATCATGGTAGGATGGAATACAGTAAATATACAGTGGGTAAGAAAGAATTTGGGGTTTTTAAAAAACTGATTACTATATGAAAGCCTAGTAATAAAGAAAAATATATATTCATTCAGGTCTGAATTTGTCTGACAGCTCTAGTTCTGTTGTACTGAAATTCTAGTGAGATTTCCATGTTTTGTGCATTTGAAAGTCTTGTATTGAAGATGCCTATGTATTGGGCATGTTCTCCCCTACTGGCTTTTATAACTAAAGGTCTGTGTGTGTTTCAAGTGTGAAGTCTGCGAAGGCGCTCTGGAAAACCTGAAGGCAGGAGACAGTATTTGGATTTACAAGAACACAGTGCACTGCGAGCCCTGCTATTCTAATGTGAAAGGTAAATTTGGCAGAGGGGAAAGACACATTCTTGTATGTTAAGATGTTAGTAAACGGGGAGGAAACAACCAATCAAGAGCAAAGTGCCTCCGAAATGCCGCCACTGGTCCTTGTTTATGGTGACGCCAACACCACCAAGGCATACTGGCAGTCCCTGATGAAGTTCATAAATGTTTGGAAATAAACACATGCACAATCTGTCAGGGCTTACTGTGTCAGGGCTCTCTTGTTTTGTTTCCTGTTAGTGTTGATCAGTTTTATATAGTAATTTTTAAAAAATTAGGGATGGGCACAAACTGCATTTTAGCAGTTCTGTTCAAGGTTCATGGCCAAACCATGAACCGATACGAACCAGGAGGTTGGTTTGTGAACCAAACTGGTTCGCAGCAGTTCATGACCCCTGCTTTCTGCTCCCTTCTGCTTTTCAAGGGGAGCAGAAAGCAGGGGTTCTCCCTGTGAAAAGCAGTGGGTATCAGAAAGGAGTTTAAATGGTTTGGAGCCATTTAAACCCCTGCTTTCTGCTTCCAGCGAAAAGCAGCTGAGCAGCAGGTAGCAGAAAGCAGGGGTTTAAATGGCTCCAAACCATTTAAACCTTTGCTGTCTGCTCTTCACAAACTGCCTTAAAATTTGTGGAAGTTTGTGGCAGCTCTTCAGTTCATGAGCTTCCATTTGCAAACCACGAACCGCCCAAAATTCATCACGAACCTAGGCTTGTGAGCCAGTTTGTGCCCATACCTATTGAGAACTATTTGCTTTGTAAAAGTGAGTAAAACATTTTCTAAATAAATAAATCTCCTCCATAGGAGGCTGTTTGGTGCCCCCAATATTGGAAATTTATAAAACAAAAGTTCTTCCAAAGCTGTTGGAAATTTACAGCCAAGGATAGATCTTGTCAGATCTCAGAAGCTAAGCAGGGTCGGCCCTAGCTAGCATTTGGAGAGGAGACCTCTAAGGGGCGTGATCCAGAGGCAGGCAGTGGCCAACCACCTCTGCACTTCTCTTGCCTTGAAAACCCTACAGGGTCACCATAAGTCAGCTGTGTCTTGATGGCACTTTCCACCACCACCAGAAGTTATTCCAGTTTCCCCTACTTGCTGGGCATAACACCTGTGAATCCAGCAATCGCATCTAGATTCTTTTGTCAAGCGGTGTAATCCTGCATGTTTGTAAATTTGCAAATTCTCTTTAGAGGAGGAGGAGGAGAGGAGGAGATTGGATTTATACCCCGCCCTTCACTACCCAAAGGTGTCTCAGAGCGGCTTGCAAACTCCTTTCCCTTCCCCTCCCCACAACAGACACCCTGTGAGGTAGGTAGGGCTGAGAGAGCTCTGACAGAAACTGCTCTTTTTCAAGAACAGCTCTAACAGAACTATGGCTTGCCCAAGGTCATCCAGCAAGTGGAGGGGTGGGGAATCAAACCCGGTTCTCCCAGATTAGAGTCCGCGCACTTAACCACTACACCGAACTGGCTGGGTTTATCAAACTGGCTGGGTTTATCAATGTCAACATTTCAGTGTCAACATTCAGAAGATTTTTGGGGACGCAGATGCCATCCATTTATTTTATTTTATTTTATTTTTTACTTTAGGAAGTTACAAAGATGTTCACGTTGATCTTTCTGATTTCTCTTTTCCTGCCTTACAGCATCATGGATCTACTAATTTCGACTTACTGAGTTAGGTGTGATCTCCTATGATTAGCTACGCGCACTTATCTTTGAAAAGCATACACTTTCGGGGAAGGGATGACTGATGTTTCCTACAAGCAATTACAAACCGTAGTCAGTTGTAGAGAAGAAGAAATTGAGACTATATCCAGATTCTGAAAGAGAAGAAATGATAACGGTGGCACCTGGGAAGAAGATGTCTGCAGTAGCCACAAGAAGAGGATGTCTTAAGTATATTGTATGAAGATACCTGATTAAGCTCTGATGACTTTGTATTCTGTTTTCTGTTCTTTCGTGTATAGTTCATACATACATGACTCTCATGTGTGAATGAACCATTGCAGATCTGATACAACAGACAGAGTGCTATCACCTCTGGCACAACAAACCCAATACTAGAAACCAGGGGTCGTTTCGTAGAAAAAGAGCTAGGGGAACTCATTAGCATAACTCATTAGAATACACCACACCCCCTGACGTCAGGGGCCTGGCGGTGGACCTGCAAGGCCGGTGGGAGTGCGAGGAAGCTCCGCCAAGGCCCTCCCTGGCCCCAGGCAGGCAGGGGTGGGGAGAGGCGGGGAGGAAGCAACTTACCCTCCCTCTTCTCCTGCCTCCTCCTGGCTGAATGACGGCTGGAAGCGGGGCGGCCGGAAGCAGGGGGCGGGGCTTCGTCATGTGCCCCGCCCCCCTGCACCTCACCCGGGGGAACTGTGTTCCCCTGCGTTCCCCCCCGAAATGACCTCTGCTAGAAACAGCCCATTGCATTTAAATCCTCAGTGGATCACGTTCGTTGTTTCAATTAACTTGAAATCAGCTAACTTTTATATGGTGCTTAAAATACGGTCCCCGAGGTTGACACCTCACCTTACTCAAAGGGATGGGCGAGTCTTGATTTTCAGGCAATTGCACTGTGCATAAAATGAAGAACATATTATTCATGTGCACCCACAAACATCCCTCCTCCATTCAAATCCCAGCCCCTTAACAGAGCCTCCTGCCCACCCACCCCCATCCCCACCCCGGAAAAAGCCAGAGGAGTGGGAGAGGAAACAGTGGCTCTGACAGTATAGTTTGCAGGGCCGTAAGGCTGGTAATGAGTTGTGGTCGTGGATGGAGCTGAGGATGGTGCGGTGGAAGAGATGGGAACAGTGGTGAATAGGAGGTAGCCAGTAGGGGGAGCCAAGAGTGGTTGAATGGTATGTATTGGGAGTGTCGGCTACGTGGAGATTTTGGTATAAGAAGAGAAGAGAAGTCATGTTAGATCAGGCCAACGGCCCAGCCAGCCCAACACTACAGTGGCCAAACCCCAGATATGCTATTCTTTGGCTTAGAAACATCAATTGCATCCTACCATGTAGAGAACACAGCAAGACGATTGATTCTAGAAGTTACATATGTGAGTCTCCTGATGCTAGTGATAAATATTCCAAAAGTGAGGGCCCCGCTACTACTATTGTGTGTGACACATTTTGAAATTTAACAGTTTTGCCATTGTTGGGATCACAAACATCACCACATTTCCCCCTTTCTTTAATCTAACCACAGGCAAACAGCTTAGCACCACAAAAAAACACAGAAAACTTTCCATGGCATAGAGAAATATATTAAAACTAAATGCGTAAAAGATTAAATTAAAATGTAGGAGACTAGAATAGCAGTCGGGTGCATTGCGTAGCATAGCTCTTTGCAAATAATCAACAGACTTAAAAACGTTTACAATATTTCTAGAGGGGTTGTTGTTAGTCTGGAGCAACAAAATAAAGCAACTGTCTAGTGGTGCCTTCAAAGAGCAACAAAATTTATTCCAGCAGGAGCCAGAGCTCACGTAACCAGACGTGTGCACGGATTCATGCTTCTGAAGAAGTGACTCACAAAAGCTTATGGCGAAATACATGTTGGGTGATTTCCCACAAGCGCTGCTCCGCGCTCACTCTTCTCTTTGGCCCTATGGTACGTGTCAATTTCACACAAGCTGGTGCGCGACCGCATTTTGCCCTGCAGCTTCGTGCGATTTCCCCCGCGTCTACTCAATCCTGTTTTTTGAGGATTGAGTAGACGCGGGGGAAATCGCACGAAGCTGCGGGACAAAATGCGGCCGCGCAGCAGCTTGTGTGAAATTGACACGTACCATCGGGGCAAAAGGGAGGAGTGAACGCGGAGCAGCGCTTGTGGGAAATCACGACCTGTTACTCTTTAAGTGCCCCTGGAGTCCCATCTTGTGGGGCTCTTTTTGTAGCAGGAACTCCTTTGCACATTAGGTGACACACCCCTAATGTAGCCAATCCTCCAAGAGCTTACGGAGCTCTTCTTACAGGGGCTACTGTAAACTCTTGGAGGATTGGCTACATAAGGGGTGTGTCGCCTAATATGCAGAGGAGTTCGCTGGCATGCAGTGCCAGTGTTAACAAAGTTATACCCTTCTCTTGAAGACAGTGATTTTAGAAGGATGTAACTCTGCTTAGGACGGCACTGTTAATGAGTAACATTGAAGACATCTGGGTGTCCACCATGTCGCTTGATGTCTTGATTCAGTGATATCATCTGAAGCTGATTTCTACCCTTCCTGGATCATGGCAATAAAGAACTGACCCAATATGACAATGGAAGGGCCCAGTTTCTTTTGAATGAGGTGAAAGTTAAAAGCGTGCAAATAACGGCCTGCTAATCAGTGTTTACATAGGAGTTCCTAGGTGGAAAAACAAGTCAAATAGTTTATATGTAATATTTTCCTTTTTGTTTGCAAGATATAACTGCAAGGTATAAATATAATAAAGGAATAAAGCAATGTCTGGTGTAGAGTGTGACATGACAGTAAACGAATGTATGCCAAAATATTCAGAATCAGCAACATTGTGTTTTAAGGGGACACGCAGTGAAGTTATGGTAGGAGCGAGCGCCAGCAAAGCGAGCCCAGGCCAGTGTCCCCTCTAAGCTGAGGTAGTGTGAGCTAGCTCACAGTTTATGCAGTGGCCAATGTGCTCGCTCACGACTTTAATGCCAGTAGCTCACAAAGCAGAATTTTTGCTCACAAGACTACACAGCTTAGAGGGAGCATAGCCCATGACACATATATCCCACAACTTGCTAAGCACAACAGTTTTGCAGGGGCTCTCATCAGGGGTCATTTCATAGAAAAAGAGGTGCAGGAGCTCATTAGCATAGCTCATTAGCGTAACTTATTTGCATATGTCAGGCCCTTGTACCTGAATAAAACTTGGTCTTAAAGGTGCCACTGGACTGTTTTGCATTGCTAGCTATGGGGGGGGGGAACGCGCAGATCTGCCCTCACAGAGGAGGGAGAGCTTGTACCTGAAGGCGGGCCGGGGGTGGGCTCTGCAACTTACTTGGCTGCTTCTTGATCCTCGCGGCCCGACTGAGGGCTGCTGGGAGCAGGGCGTGGGGCTTGTTGCATGTGCCCGCCCCCTGGGCTCCTTACTGCCGGAGCTCCGCTCCTGTGCGCTCCCACAGGAAATGCTCCCTCTAAGCTGTGGAGTCTTGTGAGCAAAAATTCTACTTTGTGAGCTACCAGCATTAAAGTTGTGAGTGCGAGCGATTTGGCTGCTGCATAAGAGTCTGCTCTGGAGCCATCCTTCCTGAGCGGAGACAAAAATCTGTGAGCCAGAGGTTAAAAAACTGTGAGCTAGCTCACACTAACTCAGCTTAGAGGGAACACTGGTTCAAATGACCCCTGGTTCTCATGAACTTTTTCACTTCTGAAGTCCTCCACTGAATTGGATCTGTTCACTCACCGGTATGACACACCTGAAGCGTTCCATTCCCTATGGAATGACGAGATAAAAAATATATATTCATACATATTTCCAGCAATAGTGTAAGATCGTAGTAGTCATTCAGCCAAACACATGGGAGATATCGATCCAGTAGCCCAGCAAAATGTCTTTTTGAATATGAAAGTGTGGATGAATGGAACTGGAATGGAGTCAGGGTTTCGCTCAACCTTTTCAGGGATCTCTGTATTTCAGAGCATATGATCATTCCTTAGGAGTTCATATGTTCTTGGCTTACTCGTTCTACAGCCTGTATTACTGACGTGAACCCCTATCAGTCGACATTCTGTAGCAGCAATTGAGTGATTATGGCTGGAAACCATTTGCAATGGTCAAAGGTTGACCAAGGGCCAAAACGAAGCAGAACAGTGGTAGCCAAAATTGTTAACATGTCTGCTTAGCTGAAAGACTACTCCGTGCTCATTTAACTCCCTGGTACTCCATTACCACGAGCGCTTGCTCTCCCAGCCTGATTTTGATACTGTACTTCATTCATACTTCCCCACTCGTGAATAAGCAAACATGGTTGAGGGCCATGTTGAGTCCAGGGATCCAGGTGGGACCTGGGGATCCCCTGGAATTACAGCTCATCTCCAGACTACAGAGATCAGTTCCCCTGGAGAAAATGGAGGCTTTCGAGGGTGGAGTCTATGGGATTGCAACCCACTGAGGTCCCTGTCCTCTCCCGGCTCCATACTTAAATCTCCAGGAGTTTCCCAACCTGGATTTGGCACCCTTACCTCCCATCTGCCTCTGGTGGCCAGGGGGGAATCTGGCAACCCTAGTTAGGTCTTACCTGAACAGGGCTATTTTTGGGCAGGAACACACAGGAATGGAGTTCTGGCTGGCTCCTGAGTCGGCCACGCCCAGCAGGAACTCATTAGCATAATAGGCCACACCCAACAGCAGACACTCATTAGGACTGGCTACATTAGGGGGGTGTGGCCTAGCACTCAAAGGAGTTCCTGCTACAAAAAAAAAAGGCCCTGGGTTTTGACAACAGACAAGGTAAACAGAATAAGAAGCAAAAGGTGGGTGTGGCTGGATGACCACACTTCTGGTAACATGGGAATGTGGCCTATTATGCTAATGAGCGGTGCCATCAGGGTGTGGCCTGATATGCTAATGAGTTTCTGCTGTTGGGTGTGGCCTATTATGCTAATAAGTTCCTGCTGGGCTTTTTCTACAAAAAAAACCCTGCCTGACCATGTTGGCCATTTCTTCACTCTCCTTTTAATCTATGTCCACCGCAGTGTCCTCCAAGCCATTCTCAACTAAAACAGAATCCAACCTCCTTTTTTTTAATCCTGGTTTCCCCCCCTCCCCCTCCATTTTGCACTAAAATCAAGTTCAACCTTCTTTTTATTCTGGTTTTATTTTTACCCATTCTGCATTACATTACCCCCCCCCTTCAGTGGTCAGCCCGATTTCAGCCTGCCGTTGCCCTGGGTTATTTCGATGCTGTTTTGCTGTCTTAAATTACCTCAACCTGAATACTGAAAAAAGCAGTGGGCAAATGCGGAAAGGACCGTTGATTTAAAAAACCACAATAAATCCTCTTCAAATACTGTTTTTTAAACCATTACCTTGAAAATATTGGAGAATGGGCCTTTAGAGAGTGTAAGGAACTTGATCCCTCTCCCTACATAGGAAGTGACTCCTCGCCGGGTGGTCACAAGA